TCCCATGTCAGGCTCTCTGCATGGAGCCTGCTTCTCCCTCTGCCTATGTCTCTGCCTCTCATTCTCTCTCTGTGTTTCTATGAATAAATAAAATATTTAAAAAAAAAAAGGATCAAGGGCCAGAGTTAGGTGTCAGAAGAGAATGAGTCAGGATCAGAAAAGGTAGGCTAGGTTACAAGTTAAGAGTTAGATCACCATCAGTGGCAAGGTTAGGGGCCAAGGTATAGGATTTAGAATAAGAGGCTCGATAGTAGGATTTAAAATTTGTTAGGGTTAAGGAAACAGAGTAAGGGTAACTTCCTCTTCTTCCTTGCTGTGGACAGATTCTCCAGGAAGACAGAAGGCATCAGGTTCTATGGTTATGTAAGCCCTAAATCCCAGGGGATACATGTCAAGGTTTCACACTAACTATTCCATTGCACACCCCATTTGACCATGGAAACACTGGGTTGAGGTTCAAGGGATGAGTAGGAGAGAGGCCAATCTCTTTCTGCGGGTACTTTCCCATATTTGAAAGTCAGACTCTGGAATCCCCTTCACTTGGCTCAGGGGAATCCACGCACACGCACACACACACACACACACACACACACACACACACACACTCAAGTACCCACACATGCAGGGAGGAGGCAAGTGGAGCTGGAGAGCTATTAGCTAGATTTTCCTCTTTTTTTTTTTCTTAAGATTTTATTTATTTATTCATGAGAGACACACAGAGAGAGAGAGGCAGGGACACAGGCAGAGGGAGAAGCAGGCTCCCCCACGTGGGACTCGATCCTGGGTCTCCAGGGTCAGGTCCTGGTCTGAAGGCAGCGCTAAACCGCTGAGCCACCTGGGCTGCCCAGATTTTCCTCTCTTTAATAAAGCCAGAAGAAAAGGTGGGCTAGAGCAACAAAGATAGGTACAGGTACTGAGGAAAAACAGAGAAGGTTAATAGAAAGAGAATGCTGGGAGAGGGTGTTGCTTTAGATCATGAAATCTGGCCAGGCCTGAGGAGGTGACTCAGTGTGGAGTGACTAGAGCAAATATTGGTAGAAGGGGTTTTAGGCAGAGGGAGTAGCTCCTGTGGAGGCCTTGAGGTGGGAACAAGATGGTGGAATGGTAGGAGTGAGGGAAGAGTGGTTCGTGAAGAACAGAGGTCAGCAAAGGCCAAGTCACATGGTGCTTTAAGGGCCATGGTGAGGAGTTTGGCTTTTGTTCTTAGTAAAGCAGCAAAACATGGCAGTGCTTCAGGCAGTAGAGTGATGTGACCTGCTTTATGCATTAAAAAGATCAATATGGAAAAAAAAAAAGATCAATATGGGGACACCTGGTTGTTAGTGGAACGTGCAACTCTTGATCTCAGGGTGGAGTCTGAGCCCCTGAAGGGTGTAGAGATTACTTTTAAATATATATATATATATATATATATATATATATATATATATATATATATATATATATAAAATAAATAATATATAAAATATATATATTATATATTTTAAAGATTTTATTTATTCATTCATGACAGAGACAGAGACATAGGCAGAGAGAGAAGCAGGCTCCCTGTGGTGAGCCTGATGTGGGACTTGATCCCAGGACCCCAGGGTCACAACCTGAGCTGAAGGCAGACGCTCAACCACTGAGCAACCCAGGCATCCCAATATATATTTATTTTAAAAAGTAAAATTAAAATAAAAAGATCAGTCTGATGGTTCCATGAAAAACAAGCCACAGAAGGCTTGAAGAGGTGACAGTACATGAAGAGATGAGGCTGACTCAGGCTAGGAGATGGCCAGAGGTGATTCAATTTAGGGTACAGCTGAAGGTTAAATGGACAGAGGTTTGCTGAAGGATTGTTGAGCACAATCTGGCAAAAAATGAAACCAAGAATCATGCCTGAGTTTTTGGAAAACTGGGTAGCTAATGGCAGAAGTGGAGCACAGGAGATTAAAAGTTCTTTATAACATCTACAGCAAAAGAAAAAAAATACACACTTCATCTAAAAAGCGAGTGTGAAGGTATTTAAATGTATTTTTTTAATGGAAAATATTTGTTTTAGCAGTTGTGAGCAGAGATGGTGATTCAAAAATCTATCAGGATTTTTGTTCTCTAAAGTAAATGCTCACTCAGTTATGATCCACTTGGTTTATGAATATTCATTAGCTAAACGTGACTAAACAATCCTTGGGTCTTATTCTGATTAAACAGGCCAGTGAGTAAACTGGATATGAAATGGGTTCCAAGTATTTTTAACAGTATCCAGGATTCACTTACTCTTTTGGCATTGCTAATATTTGGGAGTCTAAATACTACAATACAGACATTGCCCCCAAAACAACATTCAACTCACGTTGCTACTTCAGGAGACTGAAACTTTCAGGGCTAATTTAGACTAGAGCGGATTCTGATTAAAAGGGAGGTCAGAGATTCTGACAAGGGAAATAACAGACCTGGCCTAGTTGAAGGTGGTGCTTACAAAGGATACTGATAGACATTATTTATCCAGAGACAGCCTGACACCTAAATCTCACCTGAACTCTAAAGGTATTCTGGGGAACCCATAAGCAAGTGAAGTTGTATTATTTTATAATCCATTCAGTTGCTGCAGGAAAGAATACTGGCCTCTTTGTTGGCTGCCAGCTGATCAGCAGTCTACCCACAGGAAACAAAAGCCACCATTTTCATAAAATCGTTTTTTCTTTCTTCCTTCTCTACTCTTTCTCATATATAAATACTGTTTTTGCTTTTGCTAGATTTAATTAATCATTGTTTTCCCTTATATACAAGTGGGTTTTTTTTTTATGTTTATGTATTTATTTAAGTAATCTCTACACCCAACATTGGGCTTGAACTCACAACCCTGAGATCAAGTCACTGCTTTTTCAACTGACCCAGCCAGGCATTGCCTTTATAAACAAGTCTTTAATTATTCTTTGACAGGGGAAGGATTGGTCTTTGACCTTGTCTTCTCTCTGCATACTTTCCCATCGTCAGTTCTTCACTGACGTATTTCTATCACCCCTTTGACAATTCCCAAACCTAACTTTATCCAACTACCACCAAGCTACTTCTGCTTGAATGTCCTACCATCACTCCAAACTCACATCCCAAATGAATTCACTTTTTTCTCTAAGCCAACCTCTCAACCAATTGCCAAACACACAGGTTGAAACCAAGTTATTCTCAACTTTACTAGAAAGCAAATATTTCTTGGACTGGTTCCTTGGGTCCAAGAGGAAGATTTCCTCTAAATACTCCTGATCTCTTCCCATAACTCTCCTCCCTTGGCTGAAGCTTCAGGGACATAGAGCCAGATTAAGGGTAGCTTGACCCTTTCTTCCCTTATTTTGGGAACCAGCTGCCCACAGGTTCTGTTGCTCTTTTTTGGAAGTTTCACAGGAATAGGCTCTGCCTTTTGACAGAGGTGGAGGGATGTTTCATTCAAAGGAATGTTAGGATCTCATGATTTGGCAAAGAACAGAAAAGAGATCTGGTGAGGAATGTGGAGAGTAAAATATCACATACAAGTTGAGGCTACAATGGGACCACCACTTGAAGCATTTCAAACACTTTTCAAGTTGGCCATGTTGAAATGCAGGCCACTTTGTTCACAGGCAAGTGTTTTTCTAACTCTGATTTTATGTACAGGCTGGGATGAAGGAGTATTTTAGCAAAATGCCAGTCACATGGTTCAGTAAAGCCACTGTCCTTAACACAATCTCTATGGTTGAAGCACATAAGGGCTAAGGTGTGGGCACTGACCTTGGCCTTATTAGCACAGACCCACTGCCTTCCCTTCTGAGGCATCTGCAAAGCCTAAGCAGCAGGGAAGACCTCGGTGAGCAGGGTCTACTGAGGCACAAATTTAACTACAGGGAAGTCCTTCCCCATACATGCCTTTTAGACACTGGGGTAAAACAAGTATTTGGTCCTTTACTATGTCTTTTAGCTAGTTCGAGGGGCCAGGGCCTTTAAACTTCAATTAAATTCCACATATGCGGGACACCTGGGTGGCTCAACCATTTGGCACCTGCCTTTGGCCAGGGTGTGGTCCCGGAGTCCCAGGATTGAGTCCCCCATCAGGTTCCCTGCATGGAGCCGGTTTCTCCCTCTGCCTTTCTATCATGAATAAATAAATAAAATCTTAAAAAAAAAAATTCCACATATGCTAAGGAGCACAAGTGTATGAGTTCCAGACTTTGTTAGGCCCAGCCCAGCGGACAGAATGGAAAGGCTGTCCCAAATTCCATCCCTTATATCCTGAGCTAGACTCAAGGCCAAAGGACAAAACCAGAATTCATGTGTTTTTTTTTTTTCCCTTCATGGTTTACTCCCCACTTGCTGGTCTGTCAATAACTGACTATGGGGCAGCCTGGGTGGCTTAGCAGTTTAGCACGCCTTCAGCCCTTGGCCTGATCCTGGAGACCCGGGATCGAGTCCCACGTCAGGCTCCCTGCATGGAGCCTGCTTCTCCCTCTGCCTGTGTCTCTGTGTCTTCCATGAATAAATAAATAAAATCTTAAAAAAAAAAAAAAAAAAAAAAGGAAGAAGAAGAAAGGGACATGTGCCTTCACCAGCCAAGCAGGACTGGACTTTCCGAAAGACATCTTGTGGAAACAAGCTACCAGAATCACAGACCTCCCTTCCAACTTTCCAGAAGTGCAACACCTGTATACCTGGCATTAGAATCAGTTAATTCATATACGTGTGTGTGTGTGTGTGTGTAGAGATATAGATGACAGTTATGGCTTATTTTCACTCTTCTCAAATTCAGTGACTCCAAGAAAAAATTTCACCACCCTTCTTCAACCTGCCACACTATCCCATCTCCATACTTAGACCACACACCAGGAATACCCGCAGTCCTCCCCTCACTTTGCATTGCTTCAACAGGCTGCTGGAGAACCCACCCACCCTACCCCACATTCCTTAGCGACATGTCCAAGGCCCTTCCAACTAGCTTCCCTCACCGCCTACGGAAACCTAAAGCCCAGGTAAGAACCCTCGGTCACCACCTCCACCTCAGCTGTGCTCCCTCGGGTCTAGGTATCGCCTGAGCGCGAGACTTGGGACGGCTGCCACCGCCCTCCACGTAGCTCCGACAAGTACCGGGCAGCAACCACGAGCCAGGCACTACCCTAGAGAGAAAAGTAACAGAACGAGTCGAGCAAGCTCCGTCCCACTGCCAGGCGGCCCCCTCCCCCGCGCAGGGCCGCCCAGGAACGCCCGCCTCCCTCCCGCCTGAGGGCGCCCAAGCCGGCGCGGAGGGGCAATTTCCGCCCGAGACGGCCCGTCCCTTCGTACAGCCCGGGGCAGGCGCTGCGGAGAGACAAGGGCCACCCGCAGCACCGGCGCTCAGGCTGCAGGCCGTCAACCCTCCGCCCGGCCACTCCCACTGCGCTGCCTCCCCCTTACCTCACACACCACGCCTCCACTTCCGGCCGAGTCCGCGGCTTCCCGGCAAGGACCCCCGGAAGGGCTGCCCGGCCGAACGCCCGAAGGACCCCTCCTGGGTCGCGTAGGCTAGCTACCGCGGTGCCTGGTGGCCGGGCGCCGCATGGAGGACCAGGTGAATCCAGACCTGAACTCCCGCGGGGCGGGGGCCAGAACAGCTCAGCATCCGGGGTGCGCTGAGGCCCTGGTGCAGGGGACAGGAGTCCCGCGGCTGCAAGCCTAGAGAAATGAGGGGCAGCAAGGAGATGGATTGGTGTCAAGAACTGGGGCTGAGAGCCTGGGGTGTTGGGGAGCTGGGCCTCAGGTGTCAGGGGAGGGTAGAGGACGGGGAGCCGAGGCAGAGTTAGGGGGTTGCGGGTCCCCGTGGCGCCTGGGAGGATGAGGGGCTTGGCCCCCGCCCTCCCTGAAGCAGAGGAATGGGCGCCTCAGGTGAGGGGGCGAATACCCTGGCAACTTCTGAAATTTGTGATTCTCTGATAAAGCAACTTTGAAGTTGAGCGAGTTTCTTGATTTGTCAACATTTGTTGTAAATCAAGGGCCAAGACAATCATTACTTGGCTGGCATTCAGAAAGGAACCACATCCCTTCCCCAGAGGGCCCCTGGCAGCTTGGCCTTGCAATAGCTGGATGAGGCACATTCATTCATTCATTCAACAAATACTGTTGAGATTCAATTATGTACTAGACACTCTGCATAGGTGAGCATCTTTTAATGCTTTCATGGAGCTTACCTAACGAGTGAAGACATAACTGAAGAAAAGGTCCGAGAAGCCATAATAGGGGAAGTGAGCTAAGATCTAGTAGATGGATAGGCAGTAACCAGAGGAAGCACATTTTGGACTGTGGAAATGTCTCACATGATATGATGAGATTTACATTTTTAGTACACTGGCTGCTGTGTGGAAATTGTAGAGGCTGGCAGGAGTAGAAATTGAGAGGCCATCAAGGAGGCTGTTGCAGAAATCCAATGAGGGTTGATGAAGTCTTGGGCTAGGGTGGTGGCCCTGGAGAAGGAGAGGATTGTATGGATTTGAGAGACACTGCTTAGGTAAAATTGCCAGAACTTGGTGATAACATGGATATGGAAGGTGAGGGAGAGAAGATGTTAAGGCTGTCTCTCCTTAGATTATGGTGAAGATTCCTTTTGCTTTCTGTTACTCACAACCTGGGATATTAGGGAGAGTGGGTTGGCTGGACTTAATTTTGTGGTTTGAGGGGAGCATCCAGCTGAAAGCTGTAGAAAGGACATGAGTAGGGGAGACCCTAGCACTGCCTTTAACATGATTGTCAGGCTACTTTCAGCCTAAAAGAAATGAGTGTTGTCCAGACTATTCCTGTGTGTCTTCATGAAAGTCTTCTCCATATCTGTTGGCAAATTTAGGAGCTCCACTAGGTAATCTTTTATACTTAGTCCTTAGTCCTGATCAGATGATCAGTTTCTCACATGTGAATAGAATTTCACAGTTGGGAGATACCCCACATTCTCTTGGTCCAGTTTAAGAAATACTTTTATGTTCCTTATATCATTTCCGTGATTATTTATTGAGCTCTTATGCTAGGCTCTAGAAATACAAAGATAGACAGAATAAGACTGTATAGGTTCCATTAGTCAATTAAACTGACCTTTGTCCTAGGCACTGTTTCAGCTGCTTCAGATACAAAATGGTTACAAGTGGTCCTTGACCTTGGAATTGCATGTCCACAGGCCTTGCCATTGAGGACAGCCGTGTATATTAAAGAATTGATTTGAGCAGGGGAGATCCTGATCTCTATGTAAGATTAGATAAGAGATGGTATGTATCCAGCAGACTTCTTTAAGAGTATCCTGGCAACATCCCAGTTCTTGTCCATCCAATCTTCCACTTCTAGAATTGATGGGAGCACCCTATGGGATAGAAAGCCTTATGAATGGAAACAGTTACTGTACATTTGGGGCCAGGCTGTTTAGCAATGTAAATTGTAAATCCTCTAAAACACAATGAAAAGTTAGAAACTGAAGGGACCATTGGCAGAGACAAGTAATGTTTAATCTTGAATTTCTCCTGAATAGGTAACTCCTTTGTATGTAACCACCATAGGCCTTGAAAGTGAGATGGCTGTTGGCTTGCAAGGTTGCATGGCTCCAGAGTAGGGAGGGTGGGGATCGTAGCTTGGAGGGGTCCTTAATCCAGCTTTCTGATGGCAGGAGTGAGATGACCTCGATCTTGCGAAGCCCTCAGGCTCTCCAGCTTACTCTGGCCCTGATCAAGCCTGATGCTGTTGCTCACCCCCTGATTCTGGAGGTAAGAAGGAATCCTAAACCTCTACTGTATGCCCTGGGCACTGCTTCTGTTTCTGGGGCTGCAGAGCCATTTGTGAAGACTGACAGCACAGTCCTATGAAAGATGCTATGGAAGCAAAGCTAGGACCTGTGGACTCTGACTCTAAGAATACAAAAATCTACTGGAGAATTGGGGCAGATAAAAAATATAAGGGTCCAATACAGTAAGAAGAACCAAACCTCAAGACAATGTATGTATATTAGTTTTCTCTGGCTGTGTAACAACGTACCACAAACTTAGCAGCTTAAGACAACATTTCTTATCTCACAATTCTAGAATTTAGAAGTGCAGTAGGCTTGCCTGGATTTTTCCTTAGGGTTTCACAAAGCCGAAGTCAAGGTGTTGGCTGACTGGCTCCTTAGCTGGAGGATCTGGGAAAGAATCCACTTCCAAATTTGTTCGGGTTGTTGACAGAGTTTGATTCCTATGGTTATAATACTGAGGTCCCCATGTCCTTGCTTGCCTTCAGGCAAGGACTGCTCCCAGATTTTAGAGACCACTCACATTCCTCATCACATGGCTCACTCCATCTTCAAGACAGCAGTGGTGTGTTCAGTGCTTCTCATGCTTAAATCTGACTTCTCGTTTAGCTGCTAGCCAGATAAAAGTCTGCTTTTTAAAAGTTCATATAATTAATCAGGCTCATCCTGATAACTTCCCTTTTGATTAAAGCAAAGACAACTGATGGAGTGGCTGGGTGGCTCAGTTGGTTGAGCATCCAACTCCTGATTTCAACTCAGGTCATGATCTCAGGGTCATTGGACTGAGCATCATTTTGGGCTCTGTGCTCAGTGGGGAGTCTGCTTGAGATTCTTTCTCTTGCCCTCTTCCTCTCCCCTCCCCACCACATACTCTCACTCTCTCTCTAAAATGAATTTTTAAAAATAAATACACCAAAGTCAATTGATAGCAACCTTAATTACACCTGAAAATCCCTTTTGCCATATGATATAACATAATCATATTGCATCATATTCACAGTCTTGGAGAGTAGGGTGCAGAACCTGGGTGGAACTAGGGGAGGGTCATTGTAGGGTTCTGCCTACAATAGTTGGATAAGTACTAGCTGAGCAATTCTGCTAGGTAAGCACACTGTGGTGCAGAGGAAGACCAGAGCAGTCAGAAATGGTGGCCTGCAAGTGTTGGGACCTGGCCAGGCTCAAAGGAAAGATGGGCTTCAGTTAGTGTTCAGGAGGGCAGGTGTTCCGTAGAGGGAGACACTGAAACAGGAACACATATGGTGGATCTGAGGGCCATAGGCAGGCTGGGGTGATGGGACTAGAGAATTGGAAGAGGTGGAGGACAAGGACAGTACAACCTTGAACACTGGGCTAGAGTAGTTGTACCTCATTCCATGGGTAAGGTTCTGACCAGAGTGTGATATATATTTTATGGTGTTCTTAATCTGTCAAGTGTGATAGTTTGGAGAGAGTGGGACAAACTCAAGGCAGGACCACTATCAAGATATTTTTAGGATGGTTCGAGAAGTGGGTCATGTGGGCTGTAGGAACAGAAGGGCAGAGATGGCACTTCCTGCCCCCTGCACCCGAGGCTCATGCTCTGGCCATGTGACTGAAGGTCTTTACCTCACTCCACCTTCTTTCTCTTCCTACCCAACTATGGGACAGACTCTCAAGTCCTGGGCTCTGGTGGGTCCTCATGGTTCTTTTGATCAGTCTGTGTCTCCTATTCATTCCAGAGGTCCCTTTGACCAATTTTTATCTTTGATGTGGTTGTTTATCCAGGCTGTTCATCAGCAGATTCTGAGCAACAAGTTCCTTATTGTACGAATGAAAGAACTTCTGTGGAGAAAAGAAGAATGCCAGAAGTTTTACCAAGAGCATGAAGGTAGGATCAACAGTCCTTTGAATGGGAGACTTCTCTGTCTCAAGATGTGTGCAAGAGAGATTTTCACCTGGATGCACAATAGCAGCCTGTCCCTGACCTACCAACTGTAATACTGTGGCCATTCTTCTGACGTCTCGCTTGATACACAAACTTCTCATGATCATCAATCTTCGGAAAATATTTTCCAGGGGTAGTCTAGGTGGCTGTCAATTGAGTGTCCAATTCTTGATTTTGGCTCAGGTCATGGTCTCTGTGTCGTGGGATCAAGCCATGGGATCGAGCCCTGTGTTGGCTTCATGCTCAGTTTGGAGTCTGCTTTCCCCTCTCTCTCTGGTCCTCCCCCCACTTGCACTCTCTCTTTCTCTCTCAAATAAATAAATACATTAAATCTTTAAAAAAAATTTTTTTTCTAGGAGGGTTCCACTTCATAGTCCTAACCAAAAATTTAGTTTTATGTCCTGATGATATCAGTAGTTAGTAGTTAGTGCATGTTTACTATTTCAGACCTTGTCCTAGTGCTCATGATTTCATTGAATTTTCCCTAGAGCCCTATGGGGTGTAGGTATTGTTATGTCTCCAGTACAAAGATTAGGAGCCTGAGTTAGGAAAATTAATGACCTACCCAAAATTGCACAGGTTGTAAGTGGCAGTGCCTAGATTCAGACCCAGGTATGTCCTTATTCTTTTCTCTAAAACAGTTTTTATTGGGGTGCCTGGGTGGTGCAGTCGGTTGAGCATATGACTCTTGGTTTTGGCTCAGGTCATGATCTCAGGGTCATGGGATTGAGCCCCACATCAGGCTCCACCCTCAGTGTGGAGGCTGCTTCAGACTCTCTCCCTTTCTCTCTCTGCCCCTCTCCCTTGCACTCTCTCTCTAAAGTGGATGAATAAATAAATAAAATCTATTTCAAAAATATTTGAGAGAGAGAGAACATGAGCAGAGAGAGGAGCAGGGGAAGAGGGGCAGAAGGCCAGAGAGGCAGAGAGAAGCAGACTCCCTGCTAAGCAAGAAGCCCAAAGTGGGACTCGATTCCAGGACCCTGACTGAGCCACTCAGGTGCACCAAATCTTTTTTAAAAATAAAACAATTTTTGTTATTTTGAGTAAGGAGGCAGAAGTACAAACGTTCTCTTGGGCACCAATGTCTTGATGAAGTTACTCTCTCCTTGCAGGGCGTTTTTTCTATCAGCGGCTGGTGGAGTACATGGCCAGGTACTTCTAATTTTCGTTTTGGCATCTTTATCCACCAAGATTTATCTCTCGGGGCAGCCCAGGTGGCTCAGCGGTTTAATGCCACCTTCAGCCCAGGGTGTGATCCTGGAGACCTGGGATCAAGTCCCACGTCAGTCTCCCTGCATGGAGCCTGCTTATCCCTCTGCCTGTGTCTCTGCCTCTCTCTCTCTGTGCGTGTGTGTCTCTCATGAATGAATAAATAAAATCTTTAAAAAAATTATCTCTCCTGCTCCCTAAATTTTTAAGTTTCATTTAGCACTCTTTAAAGTTGTAATCAGTGTTAAGTGTCTGAAGATACATGGACTTGAGGCCATAACTAAGCCAACACTGACCTGGTAGCCACTTGTCCCATGATGGTTATTGGTCCAATGGCTAGAGAAGAGTGTTGTTGAATGCTACTGAGCCACTATGCTGACCTCTGTGGCCTTTCTTGTATACACGGAGTGGCCTTCCATCACTTACTACTTGAAGCAGCATCAGTACTTAGCTAGAAAGGCAAGGTAACTCTCAGGACATAGTATGCCTTTATTCATGCCCTGCTCACAGTGTGCCCTCCTCGACCACATAGCCAGATTCCTGATATGTGCTCCTTTTGTACACAGCGGACCAATCCGAGCCTACATCCTTGCCCGCAAGGATGCCATCCAGCTCTGGAGGACCCTGATGGGACCCACTAGAGTGTTTCGAGCACGTCATGTGGCTCCAGATTCAATTCGTGGAAGTTTCGGCCTCACTGACACCCGCAACACGACCCATGGCTCTGGTGAGTCCGCCTCCCCTGTCCTTGGCCACCAATAAGAGAGGATGGTTTGGGGTTGGTGGTCAGGCCATATGTTGGAGTTAAGGGGTAACCCTGCCATAAACGTTCCTCCCAAATACATTTCTCTTCTTTTGTGGCCATCTCCACAGACATGGCCTCAGGACTTAGGGTCAGGAGGCAGAACTAGAGGCTCGGGTTTCTGAATCTGTTTATAACTGTCTCTTGCCTCCAACTAGCACACCTTATGAGCACTCCTTCTCTTTCTTACCTCCCCTTACAGACTCTGTGATTTCCGCCAGCAGAGAGATTGCAGCCTTCTTTCCTGACTTCAGTGAACAGCGCTGGTATGAGGAAGAGGAGCCCCAGCTGCGCTGTGGCCCTGTGCACTACAGTCCAGAGGGAGGCATCCACTGTGTAGCTGGACCAGGAGGCCCAGGACCAGCCTGATGCAAGCCTGTTGGTCTGCGAAGACTGGCTGCACTGCCCAGCCTTTTCTCAGAGACCTAGGACCAGGGAGGCCTGGGGATCGTAGCGCCATCTTTGCTGGGCACCACACATACCTGAGGATCTAGCTCCTCACTTCCACCTGCTCTAGAATCTAGCTATCTACCTCTTTTCCAGAACGTTCATGGGTGGTTCAGAGCAGTAATGGCTCCTCTTTTCTCTAAGAACTATTCATCCTTTTCAAGGAGGAGTTTGCCTAATTGACTTGCCTGAAAAATGCAGTGACTATAAGCACCATTTGGCCTGTCTTCCTCAATAAAAATCAGTGTTCTACTGAATCTTCAAGACTAGGAGCACTATTCTAGGTGCTTTCTCTCTTTCTCCTTAAGTGGAATAATTAAACCTGTCCTGGGAATGCCTGGGTGGTTCAGTCTGTTAAGCATCAGACTCTTGATTTTAGCTCAGGTCATGATTGATTGGGTCGTGGGATTGAATCCTGCATCAGGCTCTGTGCTTAGTGCAGTCTGCTTGAGATTCTTTCTCTCCTCCATCTGCCACCCCTCTTGCTCTCTCTCTCTCAAATAAATTTAAGAAAAAAACTGTCCTGGAGCCAAGTTTCTGGTCTATGCTAAATGGAGAGAATTGTGTGAATGTGAATTCACACATGTGTGTAGCTTGTCCAGTGCATAAAGGAACCCAGTGACAAAGTTGAGTGTGGGCCCAAATGCATGCTGTGCACCAGGAGTAGGACTGCATCCTAGGGGAAGGGGCAACTTTTATTTGAACAAGGATGTGTCTGCCCAATAGAAGCATGTTTTTATGACTCACTTTTCTGTTTTGCACAAAGCCACTAAAGTTAGCCATGTCTCTGTTATAGATGAGAATGAAAGTTAACCATTGCTACATTACAAATCACCTCAACATTTAGTGACTTAAAACTGTAGTTTATTTTTATGTGTCTCTGGATTGGCTGGGTGATTCTGGTGGTGTCACTTGGACTCACTCATGTGGCTGCATTCAGCAGGTGGGTCAAATGTGGTATTTTATCCTGAACTGCTTCATAGCATGATTGTTTCAGGGTTCCAAGAGGACAGGCCCCCATTCATAAGCTTATCAAGCTGCTGCTTGTATCATGTTTGTTAATATCTCGGCCAAAGCAGGTCATGTGGCCAAGCCCAGGGTTCAAGTGTGTCGAGACTATAAGGGGGGCATGGATACTGGGAGGTGTGAATCATTGCCGGGGGGTGGGGTGCCATAACTATGACAATTTACCATACAGGGAGTAATGAGGAACCTTGAATTTATATAGAATTTGTGAAAAATATTTGCACAAGCTAACAAAGCAGATAAAGAAATAGAGAAGGAAGGAAAGAAACAAGGATGTGTGGATCAGGAAAGTCGAAAGAAGAGTTTTTCGGGAGAATGAAGCAATGTTGAATATTGTTGTGAAGTCCAGAAAGATGAAGCTTTTAAAATACCCTCTAAATGTGGCAGCATGGAGGTCACTGTGACCTTGGTGAGAGCAGGTCCTCTGTGCCAATAGGGGGGTTACCTTGCGTGGAAGATGATGGGCTGAAGCATTTCTAGTGTCATACTACCTTTGGGCTTAGAGTGAAATATCTAGGAGTCTTAGAGAATCTTCTCACATCCGAATCTATAAATGTATCTGCATATGTTCCCACCTTCTCTTCTCTTCCTGTTACAATATAGGAAGCATCCTGCTTCCCATTAAGCCAGTCTTTCCATGTGCTCTGAATCCCACCTTGTTCTTTTGATTTTCTAGTCTCTACTGCACTTTCACTTTCTCTGCTGGGTCCCTTCCCTTTGAATTCAAACATGTTTTGGTGTCTCCCATCTTTCAAAATCTTTTTAACTCCACTTTCCTCTTCAGCTACCTCTGTTTCTTCATCTCTATACAAACAAACCCACACAAGTTGTCTGCTCTAACAGGCTCATCCCCCTTTTCCCAGCAGCCCACTCCAGTGTGGCTTGCACACTAACCACTCCAGAGGAGACTGGTTTCCTCATGCTTTTATCACTGTTGCCCAGTTCAGTGCCAGACATAGGTATCATTGTTTTGTAAATAGCACATAGTCTGGTCTTTGACATTGCTTAGGATCCCTCCATCTTTAAAATCTTGAAATCCTATTTTTAAATCATAGTCTTCTATATTCATCTCTCATGTCTTCTAGACCTAGACTATTTGCTCATTCACTCTCCTATGTAACTTTTTCATATATTCTCACTCCAAACCTCCAATAGCCTCTTTCTTCTTCCTCATTGCCCAACTGTTAACCCTGCCTTCTCTTTCAGGAAGTTAACAGCCAGGAAAGAAACTCCTTAGACTTCCAAGACCTTACTGAGCACCTACCTGCGTCTGTGCTCGTGTACTCTGCATCCCTCCTGTTAGAATAAACAATAGACAAACCTTCCAACCTCCTATTTAAAGCTTTCCCCATTTTGTGCAGGACATCTTATTGTCTGCTACCTATTCAAGGCATTGCTCCAGTAATTATTGCCTATGCGTCCTGCATCGTCAGGAGAGAGATGTTACAAATATGCTGCAGTTCCTCTCATTAAAAAATAAATAAGTAGGGGCTCCTGGCTGGCTCCGTTGGTAAAGCATGTGACTTGTAATCTCAGGGTCATGAATTCAAGCCCCACTTTGGGCATGGAGTCTACTTAAAATTTAAGAAATAAAAAACAAATAAAAGCAAATTTTCACACCACATCTCCTTCATGCCACTGTCCCATATCGCTTCTCACCTTTAGCAAAACTCTCAACAGAGTAACCTAGAACAGCAATGAGCAATGATTTTCAGTCTAGACAAAATGGTGTAGACCCATTTATCTTTGCTCCTCCCTGAGGAGCTGAGTACAACCATAAACCTGAAAAGAATGCAAAAAACAAAGGGAACTCTGAAAAGTTCTCTGAAGTAGAACTGGTTTGTGACTTCCAGACTAGAGGAACAACACAGCAGCAGGGCATCTTAGGTCTCCCCACACAACAGAACAAGGTGAGCAAGACTAGGCATTTCCCAAATCCTAACCCAGCAACAGATGGCAGCCCACATGGCCTATTCTTTCCCATGACTAAACAGACTAAATAGAAAGTCCAGCTCAAAACACCCGGCAAACTGACAGGAGGATTGATCAGGAGTACCAGCTATCAATAACTAGGGGAAGTACTCTACTTCCTATCCAAGTCTGTGGCTACCCTCCCCCATGGAAAGATAATAAGCTGATGGAGTAACACAAGAGAGACCAAAACAAGTGCCCAAAGTCCAAGTTCTGTGACCAAAGTTAGACATCTAAGTCAAAGTCAAAAGTAAGTTCCAAGATCCAAGTCAATCCCATGTCTGAGTTCAATGTCCAGAACAAGTTGAGTCCCAAACGAAGGTTCCAGTCTAAGACCCAGGTCCCCCAGTCTAGGTCTATGGTTCTGGTTCAGATCAACATTCCAGGTCCAAGGTCAATGTCCTAGTGTAGGTCTGATGTCTAGGTATGAGGTCTTGACATGAGGTCAAAGTCTCAGTTTAGATGTTGACATTCAAGTAACAGTTGCAAGGGCTAGATCCATCACTGAAGACTGAGGACAGGTCCAACATCACAGGCAAAGAGAGTTCCACAGATGAGATTTGATGTTCAAGTCCAAGGTCCAGTTCTATGTCCAAGGGCCAGTTTGAGATCTAAGGGCCAACTCCAAGATCTAGGCCCAAATCTGAGGTCAAGGTCCAGGTCCAGAGCTTGAGAACAAGGTCCCTAAGTCTACATTTAGGTCAAGGGCCAGGTTCAAGATCCATGTCCCATTTCCAAAGCCTAAGACCAATATAAGTATCCAAGATCAAACACAGATCCACACCCTACATTCAAGCCCAAAGGGCAGATCCAAGTTTAAAATGTTCAGTGTTCAAATCTGAGATCCACGATACTATTTTATATCAATATAGAAGTCCATGTTCAAGGACCAGGTTTATTTTTTTTTAAAGATTTTATTTATTTATTCATGAGAGATATAGAGTGAGAGAGAGAGGCAGAGACACAGGCAGAGGGAGAAGCAGGCGCCATGCAGGTAGTCTGATGTGGGACTCGATCCCGGGTCTCCAGGATCAGGCCCTGGGTTGAAGGCGGCATTAAACCGCTGAGCCACCTGGGCTGCCCAAAGGACCAGGTTTAATGTCAAGACTAACTTACAGACCAGTTCCACATCCAATATCTACAACAAAGTTCAGGAGCAGGTCAGTGTTCAGTTCCAAAGACTATAAGATCCAGATCCATGGTCCAGGTCCAACATCTATGTTCATATTTGAGGCTTAGGTCCAAGGTTAGTGTTTAATGTCAAATCTAGGTCCAGATTCACAGTCTAGATTCAAGGCCCATGTTCAAGGTTGAGGTACACTCAACTACTTCCAAAGTGCAGGTTCAGGTCAAGACCCAAAGTCTGGATCCACAATCAGATCCAATGCAGAGGTTCAAGGACCAGATCCAAGGTCCAATTCTAGGCCCATTTCCCAGGTGTAAGGTGAATCTAAGATCCAGATTAAATCCATGTCTAAAGTCCAGGTTGAGTTCCAGCTACAAGATCTAGATCTAAGTTCTAGTTCCAAGGTTAGGTATAATCTATTTTTTATAAAAATGAATGTTTGGGATGCCTGGGTGACTCAGCAGTTGAGTGCCTGCCTTTGGCTCAGGGCATGATCCTGGAGTCCTGGGATCGAGCCCTGCATCCGGCTCCATGCAATGAAGCCTGCTACTCCCTCCACCTGTGTCTCTGCCTCTCTCTCTCTCCTCTGTGTCTCTCATGAATAAACAAATAAAATCTTTTTTTTTTTAACAAATAAAATCTTTAAAAAAAAATTAAGAGGACTGCTTTCACCATATATGTACAGACCTAGATTCATTCCATCCCATTTGGAATGCTAATTTTTTATCTTTTATTAGCACAAATGCCATAAAACTGCCTTTCTAGGGATCCCTGGGTGGCGCAGCAGTTTGGCACCTGCCTTTGGCCCAGGGCGCGATCCTGGAGACCCGGGATCGAGTCCCACGTCGGGCTCCCGGTGCATGGAGCCTGCTTCTCCCTCTGTCTATGTCTCTGCCTCTCTCTCTCTCTCTGTGTGACTATCATAAATAAATTAAAAAAAATAAAAAAAATTAAAACTGCCTTTCTAGTCCTTAAACATCTGTGACATTTCTCTGTAAACTATTTGGTAAAAGTTTGTCTACTGGTTTACATCTTTAACTGACAATTAAATAAATTCAGAATTTTTTTAAACTAAGTTTTGGTGGTGTTTGCTTTATGACCTAACATTTGGATTCTAAGAATATTGTTATTACCATTAGTATTTGCCATAATAAATAGCACTTCCTATGGGCCCGGGACTTTGCTACACATGAAAATCAAATTTAATCCTGCTATTATCATTTCGTAGATGAGGAAACTGAGGTGGAGAGGTTAAGTAACTTATCCGTAGTCACAAAGCAAGAAACAAAACAAGGTACAGGATATGCTCTTAAACCACAGATAACGCTGACTAATTAGGATGCAAAGGTTTATATCCTACTAAATCTGTCCTTAAAGAAAAAAAAAAAAAGCTTCCAA